TCTGTCCTCCCTCGTCACTCTGTTTCCTTTGGGCTCAGAGGGTGGGGAAGCCAGAGGCGACAGAAGCTGTTGCGTGGTAAGCAGGCTCTAGCGAATGTGGCACTGGCATGACGGGATGCACAGAAAACGCCGCAGCTTGAGCACAATCGAGGCCACTGCGGTGCCCGTCGAACGTCGCTCGTAGCCGTTCTCGAGCATCAGGGTCAAAAATATAACTTGAAAGGTTGGTGTCACATAGACTGCGAGCAGAAATGAGAGCAGACATGAAATGAGGGTACTAAGGGCCAGACCGGATAAATAAATCAGCACCAATGAGAGAAGCAGCATGCCTCACTGGCTGACATGAGGGGGTGGAGACAAAAAAGGGTAAAGAAAAATCAATATCTCCAGTAAAAGTTTATTTCATATTGATGACTGTTTACAACCGCTTCATCTTTTTCTAAACTTGAGAGGATGAACCAGGTCTGATTCAAAGCTCAGCCGGGGAAGCCTTAACTGGGTCAGTGCTGATTTCTACTCTAGTTTCACCTCTCCGAGACCAGACACCGTCTGACTTGACACTGAGTTGACATCCAGTGAGGGTTTGACCTCATGTCCTCTGGGGGCTCTGTTGCCTCAGTAGACAGATAAGCGGTTAGACAACTCCATTATCAAACCACCAGCCTACATACATATGGCTGTCGCTATCTCCTCCCTGCCCCCCATAAGGTGCTCCAACCAGACCTGAATTTACACTTCAAAGCGTTGAAATGTACTCCGTGGCCCCTGCCCAGCTTCAAACAAACATCACACACACACACACCAGAGTGCGAATATGATGCCGAGCCAAGGCTCCCAGAAACAGTAAATCTGGAAGCTAGACTGCTGTGGATAGCAGGGAATATGCGTTTGGAAACTTAACTGTAAGCATGTCCGCTGAGAGGAGCACAGCTGCTAGGTCAGCACATCCTTTAATAGTTACGAGCTTGTTCAGGCCACAACACAAGTCCCCGAGTCGGCGCTCATCACAAAACAGGAGGGTAGTTTTCCACAGCGCTCGAGGGCATGAAGTCTCTCCAGAAGTTTCCAAATCCCAACACGAGCCACAACATCCCAGATTGTTCTCAAAACACAAATCTGCATTTGAAAGTGCAATATGGTCGCTGTCAGATGAAAACCTTCCACAGCCCCAAATGTCAGCTTTTCAGGATCTAAGAAAGAACGGGCCTCTTTTGTGGAGTTCTGAAAAGGTTTCACTTCCAAAACGGCCTGTAGCGTCTAAGAACAAATACTAAAATATAATCACTCCACTGATGTTCAAAACTGCAGTTGGAAGGTTTTCACACGACAACACTGATATTCTCCTTTATGAAGCATTCATGAGAAGCTCTGTGTTAAGCAGTGCTCCAGCTTTATGATTCCCATTAATCGGTACTTTACAATTACATGGGCTGTGAGCGTGTCCCATTTTGCTATTCACAGCAACTCTGTGGATTTTTCTCAGTTTTCCTCTGAGCTGCAGCTCAGCGGCCCTCTGACCCACAGCTGAGTGACACAGAGGAGATAGTCATCCGGGATGAAACACCACTCATCACTCTCACGTCACGGCCCACACACTCTGACAGCCCTCTCTGACTCCACACAGCTCAAAGCTCACAAGACGGCCAAAATGGACATCTTGCGCCCGGCGCCATTGTTTCCAAGGCAACAAGGAAATAAGCCATGCGCTAATGTCCCAGTCGCTCTCAAATTACGGACACCTTCACAGGATGTAAAACACACACGTGTGGACTGAAGCATGATGGCAGCAGTTCAGAGGTTTGCATTAACCTTCGCTGCACTCAGCTGCAAATTGTTTAAGAAAGCTGCACCTCAATCAATAAATCACTCCTTCAGTCAGTGTCAAGAGGGCACGCGTGCCCTGGTGTGTGTGTGTGTGTGTGCACGTGGTTCTTAAATGTATAAGTACCCAAGTGCACGGTCAGGTTTGAAAAGTGGCTGCAGAGCAGGGTTTTCACAGTGATGACACAGAAAAAATGTCTTTGCACATCTCATCTCAAGCTCTGGCAGGAAAAAGAGCATCGCAGTGACAAAAAAAGTTCCTCAGTTCTCTCATAATGTGACTGAACACAGTGACCCGGGCATCTGAAAACTGGTGCCATCAAATCGGCCTTAGACCAGTGTGACGGCGATAAAGCCAGCATAGCGAGACAGGGCTGCTGCTGTTGGGATGGTGGAGTGGAACGGTGTGGGGGGGCTGGCTCGGTGACACAGTGGCACACAAAACACTGCTGCACTTATTAGAATCGCAGCACTCATCATGTGAGGAGACAAGCTGCAACATTTGGCTCCCGTGGACCGTCTTGATGACCGTGTGAAAAATAATAGCTATAACGATGCATATAAATTACAACCCGTTTGATGCTTCTGGCCTCTGCAATGTGGAGAAAATTAGCACTGGTGACTGCACATGCATCATTGACACCCTGTGTATCAATAATGCATTGAGTTCGGCTGTCACTTCTCTGCTATTTTTAAAGGGGGGGGGGGGGGGTGATAAAAAGAAATGAGGCAGCGTGGTGCTCACACGGGGCTTGTAGTGCTGAGGTTAACATGTGTGCGGGGCTGCCCTCGGGGACAGGCCCTGTTTTCAAACAGTGCTGGTCGCAACAAGCGGCAGATTGAACCAGTGTCCTCCCATCTGCAACTACGCAAACCTCACCCACCGCAAGCGAGCTGCCCAAAAATCACTTCATGTGCAGCATTACTGTTATGACTAGTCACATCACCGTCAAGGTGATTAACCACAAAACAGCCACTGAAAATGCACATTAAAAATCACTTAAGCTTCGCCAACAGGCGTTTCCCTGAGCCAGGGCGAAACAATAAAAATAAATGGCACAATCCAAAACGCTAACCTTCATTAGCTGGCTAAAAGTGTGAGGTAAACATAAATTGCTGCTCATCTTGACCCTTGACCCCGAACTTGACAGGGAGCTAAAAAGACGATGAGGATTTGGTGAAAGAGGAGGTCGCCTCGATCGAGAGGACGTTTCATCACTCTTAGTATGCAGAGAAAGAGAGACAGAGAAGGGGGGGCTGCTTACGCAAAAAATAAATAAAAAAATGTATTTTTACTTTAAGTGTCGGTGAGAGGATCACAAAAGTTGCCTGAAGCAGAGGGAGACAGACAGAGCTGGTTTAAACTGGGGATTTAAAATGGAGGTCTGACCGCCCCTCCTCCCTCTTCCCCTCTTTACACAACCGAGCTAGCAAAAGCCCACCTGAGCACGCACGCACCTGTGCAGGAGCGCACACACCGAGCAGCGCTGCATCAACAATGGTGTAACATCTCTTGCCATAAACAGCGTACCGCTTCAAATGTCCTGATTTCCTTGCCTTACACAACAGTACAACGGGCATTTTATAATCCAGAGCTGCACATGCACTAAACGCACTCAAGCTTGGACTCACACGCGCACATATTCTGGTGATTTTCACCTATTCCCCGAATGGGTGAATGAGCGGGTCCCTTCCTGCACAGTAAACACAGCATTTCCATTAGATTGTTGGGAGTGTGTTCAGTGCTCTGTGACTCAGACACTGCAGCACTGTGACTGTGTGTCTCCAGCTCAACCGCTGCTCTCTCTCTAACACCGAGCCTCAATAACATGGCCTCTGGTTTGTGCCACTTCACAGGAGCTATAGGGGCTACGCAGCGCTTTCCAAAGTGGCGAGCTACCACAGGCGATAGGCAGGGCACGCAGTATTTGAAGAATTAGGAGGGAAATAGCTTTTGTAACAGTCCTTGCTTTCAGCCACAAACCTGGCGCGCGCACACACACACCACACTCTTACCCACCAGCATGCCCACATGATAATTTCACTGTTATTTGCACACACAGAGGCAGATGAATATGTAAATAACTTGTGAGCAGAATATGGATCCCTTGTGCTTGGGAAGGAATATGTTAATGAGAGATGCAGGGTATGAGTGTTAATCACAAGTGCTGGGTGCATAAATGTGTGGTGGCCTATGCAAATTAAACACATAGGGGAGAGTGGCATGTAAATCGTATGATTCACTAAGAGAAAGTCAGCGGTGTGAGAAGTATAGTTGCTGGTGTAAACAAATCAAACACATTAACGAGGAACATTACCGGGGTGAATTACTTGGCATGGAAAAAAAGAAGAGGAGTTCTATACCCTCTGCTCTCGTCTGTTTAGCATTCGAAACCCAAATCAAGACGCTGTGATAAGGGCTGTCGCAGCAGCAACAGTTGCCAGGGAAACCTGATGGCAAGATGCTGAGGGTTGGAGGGTGGAGGGAGTTTTATGTGAGGACATGGGCACAATGCTCAGGTTGATTTGCTACCACTGAAGGAACACTGGCCGGCTCGTCGAGATATGGCACCTCAAAAGGAACGAGACGGACAGGAGAGGGGGAGGGCGACCGGCTGCCTTACGAGGAGCCGATGCTGACGGCGTTTGGCGCATTAGTCTGAGGGTGTAGTCATGGCAACGAGGTGTTGACATAGCGCAATCGCACTCTGAGCACTGTGATGGTGATGACATTCACGAAAAGTACAGAGCGAGTGTGATTGAGCTTGTAAACCGGAGCAGGGCCTTTCCTGTCCCCCTGTGCAGAAAATAAAAGGACCCAGTGCTGACCATTTCACATTCGCTATGTCTCATCTCAAGAAGAGCCAAAGGGACACAAACAGTGATACTACAAATAAAGTTGATTGTAACATAAAGGAGAAAAAAAATATATAGCCACCAAATTTCACAGACTTCCACTGCCATTTTATGTGCCAGTTTTTTTTTTAATTTTAAAAGTGACCTCTGCTAACAGAACATCTCTCATAATTATAACCAGTGTAATTAGCTAATTATAATAACAATAACAATATTACAATAAAGATAACACTTGATTTAAAAATAAAACAAAAAAAATCAAACTAGATAAAAACCCAAAATGAAAAACACTTATCATAATAGTTTTGTTTCCTTTTTTTTTTTAAAAGAGATCTATAAGGTTCTATATTTTTTTTCATTTAATTGTACTTTTTCTTTAGAAAAAAAGTTCCCCCCATCTCTGTTTCCTGTACTGCACGTCACTTCCTTCCTCTTCACTGAACGAGCATCGCTTACCTTTAGAAATGCTTGGCAATGCCTGTCGTCCATTTAGTAGTTCCCTGCTGCCATGAAATCCACTCACACACGATAACACTGAGATACAGTTGCGAGATAATCCTCTGCAAAGATGCAGTCTTCGTCAAAGGTTCGTGTCCTGTCTTTAACGTGTGACAAACATGAGGGTTCCTGACTGCTTGAGACAGTTGGAGGAGTTGGTGAGAACTGGACTGAGGAAGCCATTTAGAGGGGGCCAAGTTATTTCCTGCTGATGCATGTGGAGTAGTGGCACGCCGTCCCGCTGCTGTTCATTAGCCGAAGTCCAACAGGATCAGTCATAAACAACTTCAGCGTCATATACAAATGAAAAAAAGTACTTTTCAGTTATTTGTAGGCACAAGTAGTAATAATAATAGTCGCATGAATGCTAATAATGATAACATAATCCCTTGGATAAATCTCAAATGATTGGCTGAAATCAAATCTGGAGACGTCTGTAGAGCATGCTAAATCAGCATGTGCAACATTTTGTGTCATTTCATGTGCTAATCATTAAACGTTCATTATGACAAATAAAGCTAAACCTTGTTATCATTATTACCGTTCCGATTATTATTATTAACACTCCCGCTAGGCTGTAGCTGTACCAAACGATGGAGAGCCGTTGTCGTATTTCGTATTTTCGCAGTAGAGCATAAACACGTCCCTTCTCCGGTGACCCTGTTTATGTGAATGCGACAGGAGAGGGGAAAACACGCTCTGTGGCTACAAAAAAGTCAAGACCAAAATAAATTCACTCAAACATTTTGTCTGTTTTGCTTTTTTTTGTTGTTTTTTTTTCCCCCACTCTCCCACGTGTCCTTATGCGGCACAGTCAGTGGCCATTTTGTTCCAAGTTGAGGGAAGTAGTAAGGGGGAGGGGGGGGAGGGCAGTGGGGTGGGGGGCACTAAAACAACTGTGTGTGTTTTTCTTTTTAATATATTCTTCAGACGTCGTAGTTTTTAGTCAGAAGCTTGATAAAGATTCTTTATAATTTACTTCTTTGAATGAAAATATATTTACGGTATATATAATATGTACTTTAGTCCTTTTTTTTAATACATCGCTCTTTGTCCTTCATGCCACGGGGTTTCTCTCCTCCCATGATAGCCCACTCTGTTGCTTTCTTCCCTCAAAGAAGACAGTAGCCAGTAAAGTGTGAAAGGGAAAAAAGTGAGAAAGTGAGAGAGAAGTGAAACCACTCGGAAAAAACAATTGCTGTTGTTTTCTCTCCCTGCAAAGTACTAGTCTGTGTTCTGAACAGTATCGCTGCTCTGCTCTGTATTTTAGTGCTTCCTGGAAACCTGGGACAGCACTGCTCACCCAAATCATTGTTTGTTATTCGGAGTCTCTGCCAAACACTAATCTGAAAACATGTTCAGTAGCCAATATTATGTCTCCCTCTAAATATATACACTGAGTGTGTCTGGAAATATACGAAGCTATCTGTAAAAAACATACAGGCTGTTGTTCATAGCTGTCCACTGGGTGAAAAGAGTTGGCTTGATCTTGGACTTTGGCAAAGACTATAGCGGGTTGCGCACATGATTGTGATTTTTGTGGTGATCGTTCCATGTGTTGGTGTCTGACTTAGTGTAAAATTATGTTCAGATGCTATTTGTGGGACTGATCAGATGCAGTACTGTCTCCTTCAGTCTTCCTATCTGCTTCTACCTGCCAAGATTGACAATACAAAGCAGCAACTACGAGAAATTTCATCTTTTTTTTCTGAAACCCGTCCACGAGGACGGTATAGGCTACAGTCAGTTCAAATATTCGCGTACTTTCTATATCACTGTCACTATCCAGCATCCCTTTCCTCTTACCTCATACTTCTACCCTCACTTTCACTCAGATTTGAGTCTCTTGCACATTTTCCTTGGAGCCACTCTTAAAAAGTAGTGGCTCGTTCTGGCCTTTCCCCATCAGGCCTTTCAGAGAATTGTGGAGACCCAGTTGAGGAAGGGGCACTGGGGAGGGCAGAGTGCCACCTGTCGGTGTTCCCCCACCAGTGGAGGTTGGAATCTGGGAACAGGATATGTTCTGTGACTGAGAGCATGGTGAGGGGTTGTTATTGTTGTTGAGGCCCACAGATCCTGTGCCCAGGCCCAGGCCCATCATGTTGTTGTTGAAGTGATGAGTTTTGTAGTAGTGGTTGAGGTGCTCCGATCGAGCCAGGTTGGGCAAGTTGACTATCTCTGGGTGGTGCAGCCTGAGGCTCTGGGTACCTCCAATTCCACTGCTTCCGCTCTGTGTCACGGTGGCTCCGCCTGAGATGCCGCTGCCCCGACCACTGGCCCCAGCGCCGAGCTCATCCTCCACATTGATGATCTCGATGGCACGTGCAGGGCCGTGATGTTTGTGCAGCTGGTGCTGCTTCCTAAGCTTGTAGAACACCACCAGCATCACGGCTGCCATGAAGGTTATGGCTACGAAGCAGCCAATGATGATCTTGGTGGTCTTCATCACATCATCCATTAAGGTAGCGTCTGTGATGGGCTCAGTGAAGGTGGGTCGAGTGGCGCGGGGAGAGGAGGAGGACCAGCTGATAGGCAGAGAGGAGTCTGTGGTAGCAACACCGTCTGGCCACAAATCAGAGGGAGTGGGGCCAGGTGGAACACGGATGAAGGTCTCATTGATGGCAACCAACGCATAATCATTACCTCCAACAGTATCCACAGTTTCCACAGTAACTGTTGTAAAATAGGTGTAATTGACACTAACATCAGCAGCAGTAACGTTGAGGACAGCGGTTGCAGTGGTATTTCCAGCAGCGTTAGTCACCATGCAGGTGTACTGGCCCGTGTCTCGCAGGGTTACATTGGTGAAGTTGAGCGTGCCATCGTGCAGGACCGATATCCGCACGCGGTAGGAGCCGTGGGTCATGAGAGTGCCATTAGGGGTGATCCAGTTGACGGATGTTGTGGATGTGCTCGTTCGACACTTCAGCTCGGCAGCCATACCCTCGGTGACATTGAGGTCTGTAGGTGGCTCCACAATGACGGGCGCATAGCAGGTGAAGTGGCTTTGGTCAAGCTCTCCAATGTATTTGCCTTTTAAGAATGGTGGAGCATGGCAACGAGCGCAGCAGGTGGTGTTGCTCGGCACCGTCTCTTTTAACCACCAACTAAGCCAAAGCACATCGCAGTTGCACACCCAGGGGTTGTGGTTAAGGTGTACCCTCTCTAGCTGGTGAAGGGGTGTGAAGAGATCGTGGGGCAAGGAGTGGAGGGAATTATGGGATAAGTTGAGCTCTTCCAGGTTTTTCAGGTCATCAAAGGCATTGCGCTCAATGACGGAAACCTGTGAGTGCATTAGCCACAGCTTGCGAAGAGAGACCAAGCCTTGGAAGGAGCCGGGACGGATGATCTCCAGCCTATTTCCTGACAGCTCCAGCTCTTCCAAGCGCACAAGAGCTGTTAGTTTGGGAATGTCTTTCAGCCCACACATGCCCAAGTTTAGGTACCGCAGATTGATGAGGCCAACAAAAGCTGCGTCTGAGATGAAATCCAACTTCTTGAGCTCACCCAGGTCCAGGCGACGTAGCGAGGGCACACGGTGGAAGGCATAGCCTGGCAGAGTCTCGATGGGGTTGTTGCGCAGCCACAGCTCCCGCAGCTTGCTGAGGTACTCAAAGGCATGTGATGGCACCAGCGTGAGGCGGTTGTCAAAAAGCTCCAGCGTGTTGAGGTTGGGCAGGCCATTGAATGCTCCAACTTCAATCTGACGTATCTGATTCTTGGACAGCTGGAGGATTTCAAGGTGCCTCAAGTGCTTGAATGTGTCCGACTTGATAACCTGGAAGGACAAGTAATGATAAAGTTACTGCAAAACATGTAGGATTATTAATGGAGCTTACTGAAAGAAAGGTATCGGAACAAAATGAAAAAAAGGAAGCTGTGTTTTACAGCAGCTATTTAAAACAAACTCGATTACACCTTTCATAATAACAAACCAAATACACTTATAAAATGTTAATTTGGCTGTCATGCATTAGTTCTCAATGAGAATGAAGATCAATAACAGCTTCCCTAAATGTTTAATTTGCTTTTTTATTTATTAAAGAATACCAAATGATATAAAACCTTTAGCAGACATGCAGCACTAATACTGACATTGTTTATTGTTTGTTTTTTTCCTTTTAGGGACAATGCACATTAATCAAGATTACTGTAATGTGTCAGTGTTTTCATTTTACAACTATTAAATTAATCTTTTAAAATATTTTAACTTATACAGAGAAGATTTTAAATGATTGTCAAACAATACCAAACAGCCATTTAACCAAAAAATGTCTCATTATATTACACATGACAATGGCAGAAAGGACACAGTGAGACAAAATAGAAAAAAACAAAACCAAAACAAAACACAAGCACGCAGCAACTAAGTGTGATAGCAGCTCTGGTTTCTTCTCTTGTGGTTATTTTAAGGTCTAAGATTACTTGCAGACTGTTATGCTCATTCCCACCTGCACATTTTTATCCTTGGCTTTTGTCAGAATGCACTGATAGTTAAAAGTTAAAAGTTCATTTTAGCGCTCTCCCTTTAAGCTAAATCTCTTCCGATTTGCTTGTTCTCAAAAACAGGTGGGCTGGACCTCTGTTCCCATGGTCAGAGGGATGAGTCCGAGATGGCTGTATTACACATCGGAAGTGACTGGTTTATATAGTTGCATTAATACATTTAAAGTTGGATGTCTAGGCTTGTTCCTGCAAATATGATACACAGAGAATCAGGTGAGCAGTGAATAAACCTCTCCCCCTGAGCCTACAGGTAGAATCAGAGAAGGTGGAGGGGTTAAAAGAGCCTGCAGCAATGCAGGGGAGCAATGGCACTGACAAGTCAGAGGGAGAGATGCAGAATTTTTCAGATTAAATAGACAGATAAATTCCCGTGACAGATTGGTGATCTGTCCCCCATTGTAGCTTGAATAGTCTCTGGTCACCCCACGATCCTGAATTGGATAAGCTGAAAAGGATGGATGGATGGATGGCAAAACTGGAACAATGTGTTTGATTTCACAAGAGGAAAGTGAGTGGTTGATGGTAAGTATGTATCCATCAGTGATATCCACTCTCAGTGACATCATGCAGAGCCTAGAGTAGAAAAAAACTGCCTGAGCCTGAACATTGAGAGCAGCTTGAATCCTGATCTTTGGGGTCACGGGAATTACTTATTACTTAGTACTTATTTTGACCTCATTACTTGAAATTTTTCTCCGTATAACATGAGGATCCACCAACAGTATGTGACAGTATATATTTTCCAGACAACAATAAAAAGCGTAATCGGCCCCTTTGCTGGATGTTCCAAAAAAGGAGAAAATCCTATTGCGACGGCTGAGTGGCCAAAGAATATTTTCTTCCCTGAAAGACAAATGTCTTCTTTAATTCTGCATTCTGTTATTCTTATGTGTTAATCTGTTTCCAACATGTAATTAAATTATGTTAATCTGTTCTTAGCAAATAATCTTTGGAATTTGGAGATGGTCTAGTTTTTGTAATGTTACAAATCAGTGCGAAAACAAACACACAAAGCAAAGCAAAACAAAAAGAAAAAACATTGCTAATGAATGACTTACGGGCTAAATGTATGTTTAAGTAAAGAAGCCATACATTTAAATAAAAATGTATTTTTCTCCTAATACTGATAACTGCTGACCCTCAGTGATTCCTGCTGCTGTCTGCATTTGAGAATGACTCCCTCTGACTATGGAGATAAACATGATCAAATTAAGGGTTTCCCTGGCCTCCACGTTAGACTTTCTCTTAAAACAATATGCATTTGAGTAATGGAGTTACACTGAGTGCTCTGATTTACAATCAGAGGTTGTAAATAGCAGGGATACAATAAAGCTTAAGTCAACAACTTTGGCTAACACCCACTGAGAATACAAATCTTTAGGACAATTCTGGACTGAAAAGATGGTGGATGTCCCACCCACGTCCTCAAAAACTCAATCAACAGCCAACACCAACGAACATATGAGCCAAATGTGTTCACATACTAGAGGTTCATGATAGGGCAAGCTGTGAGGCTGCACCTGCTGTCTTTGTAAAGGCGTCATTGTGAAGCCATAATTCAGTAGACTCACCCAAAGTATGTGACAATGAGTGAATCTGCACAAGAGGTAGTTTATTGAAACTAAAGCAACAAACATCAAATGTACTTCATGCCCAGCGAACCAGCTTTTAAAGCCTGAAATGCCCAGATGAGCTGCATTACCTGACGACCCTCCCATGTCAGACTATTGTCAGTAAAAGGAGGCAGGGACTCCCATGGAGATAGTTGGAGGTATATCACATTGCATGGAGGCAGTATAAGCTTTTAAAGCTTTATCCTGGGCAAAAATATCAGACTTTTTAAGCTTCAAAAGATCTGATTTAACTAGTGACTCTATATTAGCCAAGAAATTTCTCTCCCTATTCACCAACAATTTAAGGAAGATACTGAGGCGTTCCAAAACCAGCTGAGAGACATAATCTCCCCAGCTTGCCATGGGTTTCCCCCAGGATCTTCTCCCACTAGGAAATGCCCCCAAACTCTCAACTAGGAAGCATCCAGGAGCTTAGACTGCTGCCCGCAGGACCCGGACCTGGTTGAGCTGTAGAAAAGATGGATTGATGGAACGGTGGATGGATGGATTCTGCACATGTAGTTTCACAATTGCTCTGTTTCCCATTCATTTAGAAAATAATTGCCAATTGGACGGCTATGGAATTGCAAGACTTGCTTCTAAAAGGACTGTTTTTGCCATTTAAGTTGGGGTCAAATACACCCAGTGACCAAAATAAAGTTTTAGGAATTTGATCAGTAGCCCACATTATGACTACAGCACAGCTCAACTTGTACTGATGAAAAATGGCAAAAAAAAAATGGTCACTTTTAATTAGTAGTTTCATGCTTCATTCGACAATATATCACATGACAAAAAGCAGTTAAACTCTTGACTTTTCATTAAATCTGAAAGCACTGTGGTAAATTTACTGTAAACCCAACCCTGTCTTAACCCTGACCATATTTCAGCGCTTGCTGCAGACACAAAAGTGCTTTTCACACCGTTGTTACCGTGAGACTCAGGGGGCTTGCTACTGACACATTATAATCCCTTGCTAATAAGCTGATTATCAGTGTTGGACTACAGTATTCGCATAAAGTGTCACGACAAACCACAAAGGAACTATGAAATTAAATTAATACATTTTTACTAAATTTGGTGTGACAAACAAAAAGAGATGATTTTGTCTGCAGGAAGACATGAATCTGAACTCTATGGGTGCCACGGGCCCTGGACAGAGCACAGTAGCATTGGTGTGGTCCAACTGGAGCTCATTTGGCGTGAAGTCAAAGACACACAGTTTAGTGAGCGCGACTAAAAGCCCCTTAAATCTCTGACTGTTTGAGATATGTGCAGCCAAAGCCCTCAGTGAGGCACACAGAGGCTCCTGGAGTCAGGCCATTGCTTCTTCTGTATGTAGAGCAGGAGCGGGGGGAGAGGAAGAGGGGAGTTGATAGGCAAAAGGAGGGAGGGGGCGAAAAGGGAGGGGTGAGGATGTTAAGAGGGGGTGGGAGCTGTCAAGGCTTTACTCTGAGGGTACTCAGTGAAGGAAAAAATAAGCCAGAGAATCTAGGATGCCTTCAGGTGTTAAAACATTTTTAGATTTTTAATCATTTCAAGTGGGGCTGCAGGATACAACAAGCCGAATCCAAATTTTGTAGGCTAAAAACAAAACGCAACAAATACTCTTCTTATTTCCTTATTTTTTTCTCCCCTTTCATGTTAACAGCATCTCTTAAAGCCTCACGTACCAAATCAAGTGGCGTGATGTCCCATTTCTGCTCCGTTAATGTCACATAAAGTTTAATAAGATGTTTTCTCCGAGGAATAGAGAATATCAGGCTGCTCGGTCCAATGTACAGAGCAATTTGACAGTATAAGAGATGCACTGGACAATTTTAACAACGTTTAGGATACTCGTTGCTTTTCATTAGAGGAGATAAAATGTTGTGGAAATGAATTTAAAACCACAAAAGAACAAGGCACTGTCAGGAACATGAGGATGGATCCAGCTACATCAAATGCTGCAGCAAAGACTAAAATCAACCCACTCGGTTTATAAATTTAGAGATTCATGTGCTTTGTATCGATGGTCTGTGGTTAAATGATCTTCCCCTGCAGCTGTAAAGCCACAAATGCTGTCTAGGGACTCGAGATAAATTGGTAATGCATACAAAAGGCAGCTCAGTGTCATGGAAATCTGCCTTGCTTTCAATTCATAAAATATTCCCTCAGTTCACTAGAGGCTTAAGTGTATTTTTCTACCATTATAGCCGCTTACTTTCTTGTCTTTTCTTAGAAATAAAGTTTCCAAGAGAGAACCTGTATCAACAAGTTAATCCTAACATCCACAACTGCAAACGCAAATGTTCGCTCTGATAGCGGGCAAAAAATGCAAACACAAGTGTTAAAGACACATAAGTGTGCTGGTGTCTGTGTATGTGTTGATTTTTAGATGTGTGCATTATGATGTGAAAATCCTCAATCTGCTATACAAGATGCGACTGTGCTATATCACTGACTATGCAAATATCTCCTTTCATAATAAAAGAAATAAATGAGTTTGTAGAGAAGTGTCAATAGGTTATTTGCTGAAAAGAAATGCTGAAAATGTGGCGTATTTCAAATGCCAGAATGAGTGTTTTCTCTGTGCATTGATTGTAAAAAAGAGAATGAACCATGACCTCCAATCAATTAGTGTTATAGGAAAAATGACTGGCAGTCAGCACCTTCAGAAATTACATCATGCATCATGATGCAGCTTATGATGCTTACAGAAATAAACTGCATGTATTGTATGCTTTTCTTTTTAGCAGTTTATGTGTGAATATTTGTGTCATATTCCAGAGTTTCCCACACACAGACTTTACTTCGGCGAGTCGGTTAGTATATTTTGGTGAATCATTTTAGCATCTTTTTTTTTTATTAATCTCAGAGAACAACATCATCTGCAGTATATTATTATTAGTATATGTTATTGGACATCCCTTCACTCTTGTTTGGAAAATCCAGTCATTATTAGCCAGCTAGCTCCAGCCCTCCCCCTTTTGTGTTTCCCCATTAGCTTAATGGCTAGGTGACTGGATCACTATTGTGAAGATCTACTATATAGTTTAGCTGCGTGAATCCTTCCTCTCTCACTCTGGTAGACTCCAATGGCTCGTTCTTGGACTGCAGATTGCCGTGGTAGTCCTTGTTCTTGAGCTGAACTGTATTCAATCTACAACCTGTAACAGATAGTGAACCGCTTCCTCTGCTGCCACCCAAAGGTAACCGAAGCAGAACAATCAGTATCAGTTGGGGGATGTGAGAGTCCTTTGAGAAGCAGCTGATTACTAATACATGATACCTTTTGGTAACTGAGATTCATAACAACAACAAAAGAAAGACTTTTTTTATTGTTGCCATTTTTTATAGCACTATAACTACTATAGGTAGCATATTAGTTCCTTGTTGTAGTGGTTAACACATTCCCCTTTACATCTGAAGGATACTGGGTTCCAGACTGGCCGGAGACAGAAACCCAGCCTCAGGGAATTAAAAGCTGGTGCTCTTTTTATGCCAATCCCAACCATTTCTCGATTCCCTGGCACAGCCCTCCCAAGACAAGTAAAATTTGGAAAATCTGGAGTAAAATCCAGAAAATCCAGAAAAAATCCAGATCAAAAATTTGAATCTATCTGCCGTGTCTCCCATGAGCAAGTACTTTTCTAGGTACTGCAATTCTTTTGAGAAGTGAAAGGGGAGGCATGTAGCTACAAGTGTTCTAGTCTACCTATATACTGTATGCTAAAGAAGGAGGCCCATTAAAAAACCATGTGAAACACAGAAGAATTCCCATAGCACCTCAAAATCCCTATGTGGGAGAGGGCGACCAGTGTAGCTGTTGCAATTGCTCTGTCATAACTCATTGATAAGAAAGTGATGATTTATCCTGATTTATCCTTATCTATCCTGCTTTGCAGTCCAAGGAGGAAATCTTCCAATTTTGCAAGAAATTTGGAACTAGTACAAACAAGCCACTGGTACAAACTACTAAATATCCAGTATTGTTAAATCCTACTGTTCATCCGTCATAACATACTTAGCAATTAAAATATTTGCAAAGGAACAACTTATAAACTGTTGTTTAGCTCACACGCCTGCTTTTGAGTGCACATGTACAGGGCTGTGGAAACGTGTTTGCCCCTTTTCTTATTTCTTATTTTCCTTCCATATTTGCTACTGTTTCAGGTCACCAAACAAATTTTATTACTGGACAAAAGCAATATAGAAAATGCAGGTTTTTAATTATTATTTCATTTATTTCATTTGACTAGAAAAGCTACCCAACCCTAGCTGGCTCAGGTTAACACATTTTTCTGGAGTTCAGTTTCCTTAGACACATCCAGGCCTGATTACTTCCACACCTGCTCTTAAACACTTAAAAAGGACTTGTCCGACAAAATGAAGCAGGCTAAAAGATCTGAAAAAGCAGCGATCTAAAGAAACTCAGGGACAGGTGAGAAACAAAGCCATTGACATCTATCAGCCTGGAAAGGGTTGCAAACTATTTCTTAGGCCTTGGTACTCCAGTGAACCAGAGTGAGAGCCATTATCCACAACTGGAGAAAACCTGGAACAGTGGGGAACCCTCTCAGGAGTGAGTGACCTACTAAAATTACTTCAGGAGACAGAAGAACTCAGAGCAACATCTAAAGAAATGCAGGCCTTACTAGTTGGTTATTTAAGGTTAAGGTTATTTATTAAACAAGAAGAAAGAGGCTGGGCAAAAATGACATCAATAGGAGACTATCCGATTGTTCAGTCTGACGTCACTAGCCGTGTCTGGGTCTAAACTCCGCTGCAGGTCCATATATCAAACGATCACTGTGGCATTACTGAGAGTTGAAAAACTGTCTAAAGTCTTTCATCTTTAATAAAATGATCAGCGTTCTGCTCTACCAGGTGTAACAATTGAGTTTAACATTCCAGGCATCCATGAAAACGGAATTTATGACATTTAACGGAGTTAGAAGTTAGCAGGGAGTTAGCTCGCTAGCTTCTATCTAACTACAATATAGCATGTCCTGACTGCGGAGTTTTGGAAACAAATTCAAACGTACAGCTCTGTTATCACTTCCAACATAAATGAAGACAGAAAACTAAACAGCAGTGACGTTTGTAGGGTTACTGAAGTTTGGCTAGCTGGTATATAATGATGTGCTACGTGACCGCTAGCGACACAGCTATGTTAGCATAATATAAACAAGCTAACTTTTTTTCCACTCGATAAAAGTTAACGTGAGTGTTCTCGGTGGTCAGGAACAAATGTAATCGCATGGCAGGATGCTGTAAAAGGACCAAACTTCAGCCAGGAGAACAACTGAGATAATCCATCCACAATACGAGGTTAGTCATTCATATACTGCTGCATGGGCTGGGCTGTAGTTACATCCTAAGGTTTTAAAAACTGAGCTTAAATAAATGATTAGTGGTAATAAAAGCCGAGGGAGGTCAACAGTGATCACTGACTGTTTTAGGAGCTTTTTGAGATCAAATAGAAGAAAATACATAACATTAAACATGTTAACAACACAAAAGCCATATTAAACGCAGACTACTTTAGACCCGGAAGTAGGATTCGTCGCGTCATCACTGAACAACCGGATAGGAGAGTTCCAAGCTGAAAACCACTGCTCACCAAACAGAACACAAAGGCTCATCTTCATTCTGCAGACAAATGAGACAAAAGTTAAACTTTTTGGAAGGTTTGAGTCCTGTTTCATCTGGGATTAAACTAACACAGCATCACATGAAAAGAGCGTCATAGCAACATTCAAACACGGTGATGGTAATGTGATGGTCTGAGGCTGCTTAGCTGCTTCAGGACCTGAAAAACTTGTTGCAATTGATGGAACCATGAATTCTAGCCTCTACCAAAAATCCACTTGTGTTATGTAGGACAATAAAACGCACCGAAACACACCGACAAGCATCTCTGAATAGCTCAAAATAAAAATGTAGTTTTTGGAGTGGATTAGTCAGAGTCTGGACTTAAATCTGACTGAGATACTTTGGCTTGACCTTAAACAGGCCTTTCATGCTCTACAACTCTCCAATGTAGCAGAAATGAAACAATTCTGCAAAGAAGAGCGAGTCAAAATTCTTCTACAATGATGAAAGAAACACTTGACTGCAGTTCTTGCTGCCAAAAGGACACAACCAGTTATTAATTTTAGGGAGCAATTGCTTTTTCATATAAGCCCAGTTGGGGTTGAATAGTTTTTTCTCTTAGTAAATGAAATCATAATTTTAAAAATGCGTCTTGTATTTACTCTTTGTCTAATTTCAAAATTGGTTTAATGATCTGAAAAATGTAAGTGTGACAAATATAAAGGAAAAAAAACTTCACAACACTAACATCATCATCTCAGTGAATAAAAACATTAGTCATGCTTAGCTCTGCAATGCAGACTGAAATGATTTGACCTCCGTCCACCATTATTTACCTGTATTGAGTTCTCCTGCAGGTTGAGGTATCGCGTGTTGACTGATATGCTTTCTGGCACCTCCTCCAGGTTTTGCCTGGTGCAGATGACTCGGCTGGCCTGGTTGGAGCAGGTGCAGAGGGAGGGGCAGGTGGAGGCGGCTCCCACTAACTCCGGCCCAGGGAGGAGGAGCCGCAGCAGCAGCTGGGCCAATAGAAAGAGGAAGGGGGAGGGGCCGGGAAGGCAGGTCAGCGTGGCGATGCGCATGGCAACTGGGACATGACCCTGCTCTTTAATCCGAAGGTACAGGTGAGGTGACTCCACACTGGTGGATCTGTTAGAAAAGGTTTGCTTTCCCTTTGGTCCTCCAGTGGCAATTTGTTCTTTCTAATTCCGCATGCTCTGAGATGTTTCGTGTCCTCTGTCGAGCTCTGTGTTTTTCCCTCTTGTTTTTTGAACATAGAAATATGCAGATAAACAGATGTTATTCCCTTTTTTTCTGGTGCTGTCGGGGGATTCGAGTGAGGCTTTTTGTGAAGTGAGAAGAACCCAGGAGTTACTGTGAAGAACAAAAGAGAGAGAGACAGAGAGAAGAAGAGAGAGAGCAGATATTAAAGACAGTAGACAGACTACACTTTGTGTTTTTACCAATAGACAACGAACAGAACAAATAATGGGTAGGCAGCTACGATATAGCTTATCATGGGAGGGATTGTCAAAAAATCTTTCAGAAGCATTAGAACTTCTGTGTCACTGCTCATATCAAATCCCACATAATCCCTGAGCAGACATTTTGTCAGAAATCAAATCCTTACACACAGGGCAGATGGAAGCTGATTCTGTAATTAATGTTACGAGGTGGAGGTGTGGAGATACGGAAACAAACAATGTGAAGTGGGACAATCAGGTATTTTGGTTTTTAAAGGATTGCATTTTGTAAATCAATAAATCAGAAAGAAATTAGTTCTTGAAACATTGGCATAACCGCTGTAAACAGATAAGCAGTGTCACACAAAATCGTACTGAAACAGCATGGAAACGGTGCAGTTTTGCTTTTGAGGTTTTCCTGTGCAGATTTCAACTGCTCAAAAGTTTAGTTAGAAGAACACTCAGAGAAGAAGTGATCTTTGTACACTTGTTTCATGTTTAAAAGAATAAGATCTGTTGCCAAATAAACACGACAACTGTTGAATGCTGTGTTTGGGTGACAAATGTCACTTGCCTGAAATGTAATTCAGGAAAATGAGTTTTGTTGATTTGATGCAATACAGCGCTGAAAATATTAAAGCCTTGAAAGACAATGACATGGATCATTTTGTGCAACTTAAATTTACACTTGTGAAGAAATGCATATGAATTCTGCACACGTGTTGTCAGCTCGACATGGGTCAGAACTCTTCACTGTGTAAAACTAAGCTCACCTGTATTTACACATCTGAAAAGGAGTAGTTGAACCAAAATCATTTTTATTTAAGGAAAAAGAAAGAAAACCTCAAAGACGTGGCAATGGTGGTGAAGAAGAACTCCCTTTTAACAGGATGAAATCTCTAGCAGTATGTGGGTCAGAGAAGGACACCCATATGTACTGACTAGTTTGGGTTGAGTGGAAAAAGACCCTCAAACAATTTACAGGACAAAACATAAACTACATGATAGTATATTTAGAAGTATATTATGGCTTTTACATTGCTTCAGAAATGGTAGTTTCAGTGGGTAGGAAAATTGTCAGTTTGGTAGGTCGAAGATAAACACAGCGCCATTAACAAATGGTTTGTAAAGTCACGTTCAGACGCCTCAATTTCTTTCTTTTTTTAGTTAAAACAGGTGCATGTTTTCTAAAATGGTCATCTCCATCCATCTTTTATATACAGTCTTTGGTTTGTAGACTTTTTTGACTGTTCAGGGGATTACCTGAATTATTAAAAGTAAGTTATTTAAAATCCATCTAAATTAAACCCAATTAAACCTGCAGTTATATCAATACTTCCAACATAAGGAACAAATTAGTAAACAAAATAGTTTCCATATCAGAAAGGAATTACATATGCAAGAATGTATGCATGGTTAGTCAGATTGAAGAATTTCCACTTAAAATCTCAAAGCTGTGATATTAACTACAATAATCTAATTATTAAAACGCTGTGGAACATACACAATACACCATTCTCTGCATCAACTGCAATATTTCTGCTGTCTACAGAGTGAATAACAATGTTGGGTTTTACAGGAAATGTGTGATTTGTAGGAGCAAAAGAGACAAAAAGCACAACATTTTGCAAAGGTAGACGTCAGAAAGAATGAAAAACAAGATCTAGGGAGCGGTGGGGTTTCTGGGACATTTGGTCTTAATTCTGAGAAGCATTAATAACACCACTAGTGTGAGATAGAGCCTTCCAGTCATCTCTGCTGTGGTCTCATTTGTTAGCACTAATTATTCCAAGGTATAACAAATAATACGACAATGATATATTGATGTTTGAACATGAACACTTACCACCTTTAATTAAAGTTATCCAGACCTTGAAAACAAACTGAAATCAGTAAGCGCTTTTTTTTGTTTTGTTGCAGTAGCACAGACACAGAGGTGGGACTAAAATGCGGCCGTTCAAGTCCGAGATGCAGAGCGCCTCTGTATCCCTCCCTGCAAGCTGTTTAGAACCTGAATAACCTTAAATAAGGGCATCCAGCAATCTTAGATATTAATGATGATAGTTGTAATGATGGGACTTTGACACGCAAACTCATTTGACACGCTGAGCATCCTCACTTGGCACAGTAAGAAAGGAGATGTTGGGGGGAGCAGAGAATGAGAAGGAGAGGAGGATTATTAATCTGATAGATGACTGTATGGCTGCAGGCAGAGAAGGGAATTATCAACACTACAGTAATAGATGAATACTGAACAGCTGCAGAGAGAGGGCCGGAGAAAGAGAGACAGAAAGGAAGAAAGAGATCGAGACGGAGACAGATGGAGGGAAGGGTGAGTGAAAGGGATGATGAGGGATAAAGACCCAGAGAGAGGTATAAATAGTGGGAAGAGCAGAAAAGAGATGAGTTGTTAAAAAAAAGAGAAGATAAAAAAGTGGAAGAGGGAAAATAGGGAGGAAGAAAAGAAGAGACATTAATATTAATCATCTCTCACTCACCAAGAGAGGGAGAAAGAGAGAGAGAGAGGAGAGAAGGGAGGAAGGCTCAATAGAGAGATGAATATAAAGCAGACAGAGATGGAGGGAGGGGAATGACAACACAGAGACGCATATAAAACAGAGTGAAGGAGAGATGGAGGCAAAAGACAATACAGAGGGATGAATTTGAAACAGGTGGAGATGTAGAGGAAGAGATGGAGGGACAGAGCGGGAGGTTTCTCCTGAGTGCCAGGGGAGTGGGAGGAGAGGCAGGCTTGGACTGGCTGGGCCAAGATTGATCAATAATGCGTGTGCTCAAGTTCAATGACATTAAAACACACACAAGGACACGATGACAAATCATATCAGCAGCAGTGGCGGCGGTGTCTCTGGTCAGAAAGAACAGGGCACCAGCGGTGGCAGCGAAAGCAACAGTCCCACTCGTCTGCAGCTGCTCGTCATCAGCCGATGGATGAAGAGGAACTCGCAGTGCTATTTCTGGACCAGCTCTCACCTTTCTACGTATTTTAATTTCCAGCTACCTTTTTTTCCCCTCTCCTTTTGGCGAGATTTAAGTGCCAGAGCTATTTCAGGTAGACGGCATCAGAGCAGGGTGGAAAGGTGCAAAAGGGGGGGGAGAAAGAAAGAGCGCAAGGGGGAGAGCCGGGGGTGACTGGGGCTGAGGTTAAGATGCTAGCTCAGATGTTGGGTCCATCGAGGAGAATGAGGCTGCTTGAAGCTGACAGCTGGTTAGAGGCTGGTTGATTGTATTCTGCCTCACCGCTGTCACTTTCCACATGTTACAATAGTCTCTAACTGTAACCCTCCCTCCTTATCTTCACTCTCCTCTTCCTCTCTCTATCTCCCCTGATATCTTCTTCCTCCTATCTCCCATCTCATTCTCTAAAAGTGGGAACACTCTCTTCCTCTTTGCAAACTCTTTCACATTCATCCCCCCTCCCTTCCCAGCTGCCTCACACCTCCCCTCCACCCTCTCCCTCTCCTCCTCTACCCTACTACTACATATTTCCTGGACCTCCACCCCTCTCCCCCCCCCGTGTGGCACACTGTAGTGTCCAGTGGCGGGGGTAAACGCTGCACTGACCCCACAGTTTGATGAAAGATTAACCTGCTACAATGATGCATATTAACCCTTAACCCCCACTCTTTCTCTTTCCAAACACAAACACACTGCAGCTTCCTCCCCCCACTCCCCCACTCCTTTTGCTCTCTCATTCCTCTCGCTGCATTCAAATCTTAGCCAACAGAGTTACCATGGTTACCTATTCACCACAGTCTCCCACTCCGTCCAGCTGTATCCCACCGATTCCACATCCACCCCGCTCCACCTCCCCGTCCTCCCTCATTAGCACCCTATACACACGTATACAAATGGCATGGACCAAGCGTGAGCGCAAATGACATCAACGCTGCACAAACCACGAGGTAGGGTAACGGCAGGCCGCGGTTACCGTTTGTAGCAGCGATGTCGATACAGTTTCCTTCGTCCAGCAAGTCGCCACAAATGTCAAGCAACCACAAATCACAAGAACAAAGGTCAGGGCCGTTTTTCCCTGAGAGCGATGACGTAGTGGCACATTAACAGGTGCATAAATCGCATTCATACGCAAAGAAAACAACTTTTTGGAATTTTTAAGGCACATACAGCCTGTTTTCCCAAGCAGCTTCTCACATGCACACATTACTGTAGTTACACAGATCTTTTTTTTTCTTCTTATAAGATTTTTTAAATGTTCTTAGAATAATACTAAATAAAGCTACTACAATTAACATGTTTTAAATCATTGCTGATCACATGACAACTTGAATCTATTTGTTCATAATGAAGAACCTGCAGAAATCTATCATGCAGCTCCCCACTCCCCCTGAGCTCAGAGACATTTTAGATTTACTTTATTTAGGTTTGCTGTCACTCCTCTGATAGCTTGTTATTTGTCCACAAAGGGCAGCTTACATTAAAAAATACTTTAACATGCCCACTGTAAATCATCTGCTCAGCACAGTCAGTTAATGCAGTTTTAAGATTTGAACCCTAGTTTTAGGGACTTTAACCATCCATCCATTTCCTTAACTGCTTATCCAGCTGAGGTCACAGTCAGCTGGAGCCTATCCTAACTGACATCGGGCACACCCTGGACATTATGCGTGTCCATCACAGGGCTAACGCAGACAGACAGACGATCATTCACGCTCACATTTATATCTTCGGACCAAGTCTGAATCACCAATTAATCTAACATGCATGTCTTTGGACTGTGGGAGGAAGCTGGAGAATCCAGAGGAAACCCACGCGGGCAAAGGGAGAAAGAAATCTAGCAAAACTGCCAAATAATTCTGGTGGACGTTTAAAAAAATGATCATAAGTTATAGCTCTGTGTTTTCAGTATGGTTTTTATTTTTATTTAGTTTTTCA